GCCGCGGGACCAGCAGATCACTCGCAGAAATGCCACTGAATCCGCGGACCGCCCGCAGGCATGCCGCCGAAGGCTGCATGACTGCCGTGCTTGGGGTGGCAAAAAACATAGAGCTGCCCCTGCCTTTGGATGTATGTACACAGCTCCCATTGATTTTGAAGGGAGGCCTGCCTGCACATTTAAGTGATGCTTTAGATATATTTCAGATACAAAAGGAGAGTCTAAGGCTGTGTGCAGCTGTTAACACCAGTTCAACTGCTAGTAGTAATTTTTTTGGGGTAACATTTCCTCATGCAGACAAAGCTTAAAAGGCTACCTTGCTCCATTCTGTGTTTGGTCCATGTTTGCCTGCCTCCTTCTTGAGTTGCATGGTTAAGAGTCATTTGCCTCTAGAGAATGCCCTGGTGTCCCAATACAAAGCCTGGGTCAATCATAGCCCGGTAGTGCTTTGTAGATTTTGAATATATGCAAATATAATGTACTTATTTCCTTAAAATGACTCCAAACCCATTCAAAATTTCTTTGAGTTTCTTCCTCCACTCCTAAAATATATTTCTTCTACCGGATATCCACTGAATGTGTGATTTTAACCACTCTGTTCACAAAAGCTGCTCTTGAGATACTTTTGATACTCCATTGAGAACAATAGGGAATGCTCCAGACAGCTGTGGAGACCACCAGCGCTGTCCTTGCTCTCCCTGATTCAGTACCTGAGTTCTACACCTGCTGCCCAAGAAAAGGGATGAGAGGCGAGATAAACAACCCATTGTTGGCTCTCCCCAGGAGAGTTAAAAGTCAGTGGAAATAAATTAGTTGCCACTGAGCTTTTTGGCCAAGTGGCTCAGGGATAGCAGGGAAAGAAATGGCCATCACCTGAGTTCCCTTCTCCAGAGAAGCATATTTGCTACCTGCCTCAATTTGGCTGGACCTCTCCTGAGTTTTGACAGTCCCAATTATCTGCCTTTTTGAGTATTCAGAATTTGTGTGTCTGCTTACAAGGCTGTACTGGAGGCTTCAGAAGATGTCTCATCCTCTTCCTAGCTCTCACTGTCCACTGTTGGTTCCTATGCCTCACTGCAGTGGCAGAGGGAACCATCCTTTGGCCCTTGCCAGTTGCAGCAAATAGCCCAATTTAGGAGGGAAGAAAGGGAACACCGTGGAGGGGGCAAAAAGAAAAAGGGAGAAAACGAGGACACAGTGGTGAAAGGAAGTGGGGTGGAAGTAGAGAGAAATGAGAGGGCAGAAACAGAAGGGCGCAAATATTTGGGTAGATATTACTGTAACACCCAGGTATTGATGTCAGGAAGTGAGAGCTGGTAGAACCTCAGCACATGGGGCCAAAGAGAACAGTGACAAAGGATGGGAAAAACCTCAAAAGGGAAGGAGAAGGGGACATAAGAGAGAAATGAGAGAGGAGAGTAGTGGGTATCTCTGGGCAAGAGGAAAAGATGCAATTCAAAGAGGAAAGCAGGTATCTACCTCCTGCCTCTTAAAAACAGCAGATGAAAGTAGGTCTTCTACCAACATAGCTAGATTGGGGAAGCCATGGCCTGTTGGTACAGGGAGGGGGTTGTGAATAACAGGATTGTGCTTCTATATGGGACAAATGAAAGGAAAGCAAGAACAGCTGCTGTGGTACTTATAGCCATCTAAATAATCTAGAAGTGACCAAAATGTGTTCTGGAGTCTAAAAGCCCACAGATCCCTAACTTGTTTTGAGAGTTGTCCCTTGACAACTGTGGGGAAAGGGTAGTGGGGCTTTGTTGGTGATAGATAGGTAAGCCTGCCCCTTCTCTAGGGGCATTTCCAACTAGGATTTCCTGAAGGGCTATTTTATTGTCCCTCTAAGGCCTGCAAGGAGTTCAGCCTGAGGAGACCTCTGTGCCTGTGTGGACCTCCTTGTAAAATCAGGGCTAAACGTGTGACAGGCCATTAAAGGTTCCCTAAACTCATCTGAGCACAAGGAACGCTAAAGACCCTACCAGGTGAGGAGACTTTGCACTAAGCCAGCCAGAGCACAAAGAGGAAGAGCTTGCAGAAAGAGATGGTTCCTCTTCCAGAAAAATATTTTAAGAAAATTATAATTAGAAATGATCTTAGTTTTTCTCTAATTAAAATGAAAATTTAATTTAAAAACAATTTTCTTCACGATTTGTTGGTAACTTGATTATATTTTTGGCAGGAATTGGCATGTTTGTTTTTAAAAAGATACCTTGTTTAGTTCAGGCTGTGGATTGGGACCTATGCATGCAGATTAATGTACACAGTAAGCCCCTCCCTATCACTTGCCTGTCACCCTCTCTGTAAAATTTAGATCTGCAAGTAGGGGCCATCTATAGTGGATAAAATTTCCCACTTGCTAACATTGGTTCAGCTTCACTGGTGTTAGCTATACTGGAAGTCTTAATGTGGATGGGCTGCTGGCTGCAACTAGCATTTTTAACATTATCATGTAACCCTGCTCAGAGCAGGCCTAATCAATGTGATTTTATAAACACCAACTGCAGTCAGTATACATCTCTCCAGTGTAAATGGCCCCTTAGAAAGTGGCCTTTGTAAGACAGTCATGGAATGTTAAACATCTTATCCTGTGCTTTCCCCTTTTTATGCTCCACCCTCTTCCCAAAAAATGAATATAGGTTTGCAGAATTAAACAGAATGGCTAGAAAAATTAACGCCATTTAGATATTTTAAAATACATATATGTTTTAGTATATTGATGTCACTAGCAGCAATTTAAATAGAAAAATCTCTTAATCCAGTAGCAAAAACTAGAGAGAGGTTGATGTTAGAATATTCTATCAGTTCAACAATCAAATAAGTGTCTCCTACAAATATTAGCATAAAACATTAGCCATGTTTTACATTTATTATGTTTATATCCACAATACTTCAAACTCATTTTGTGTTAAATTGTATCTGTCATCTGTAAAGAAATACTTATTTGGGTCTTGACATTTAATTTTTATTCTAGTCTCTAGTAGCTTTTATTTTTAACTCGAATACACCTATAAAAACTGATGTAATTACAGTACATTGTATTTTTAAAGTTTAACATATAATAAATTGTCTCCATCCCAAAAAGCAATATTTTGTTTGAATGTTGTTATTGTAAACCATATCTCTCTATCAATGTAAACATTCAGGTTTTTTCATTTGTACAGAACAAAGGAGTTATAATCTGCAGCAATATATTGGATAGACAAAAGTTTTATAGCCGGGCATGCGTTTTATTTATAGGTCAGTGTGAATGAGTTTTCATGTTTTTTAAATTTGCTTACAACATCTAACAAAGGAGGGGGACCCTTTTGTCTTTTCTATAAGATTGTTGTTGTTTGGTCAATTGACCTCAATGATATTGCACATGTGAGTAAAATTACTTGTGTGCTTAAGACCCATAGTTTGTAAACTGTTAGTGAATCCTGTAGGATGAAAGGCACTATATAAATATAAAATTATTTTATTATGGCTGCATTCATTTTAACCATCTCCTTATACTCCTGAAAATGATTAACTTCTGGTTTACAAGTTGAATGTTTTTTTTTTTTAAAAAAAAGTCTGCCTGGGTTCTTCAGCATTCAGATCTCTAAAATGTCGTTTGCAGTCTTGCACAGACACCAATCACACAATATTTGTTTTCTAAATCAACCTTTAATTTAAAAAATACCTTTCTATTCTCAGAGGAGCTACAGGTATGACAAAGGAAAAACAACAGCCACATTGTCCCCAGGTTTCTTTCCTGTTTTTGTAAAAATATCATGTGTAACTAGTTACAAAGGATTATAGTGAACTCTAGAATGAATAGGAATATTATCCTGATAGAGTTAAGTGACACCCCCCACCAAAAAAAATCCACTCCTTTTTCTTAACACTTTAAGGTATTTTATCTAAACAAAGTCTGATACACAGTATACGTTGTTAGCACATCTAGGACATGTCACAGTTTAATTATGAAAATCAACCATGAGAAAAGCAGTGTTCCCAACTGAGTTAATAACTAGTTACCTATCAAGGAATAGACTCAATTCTTAGGAAGAGTTCCCAGTGTGTTAAATGATGCAGTTTTGGGCCCTATAGTCTGGGGAATCTATACATGTAAATCACTGGACAGAATTAATGGCCTACTAAAGGCTCAATCAGCCTAAATTGAGGCACCTGTAGCAGAGGAGAGTAGTTAGGGCTAGAAGGTAGGAGGGAAGGGAGATGGCTGCTGCTTTTGCTGTGGGAGAGAAGGTGGACTAGGGACAGGGGAGAATAGTGTTTAGCAGATTCCCCTGGAGAAACAGGAAGAGTTTAAAAGTTTGTGTTGCTCATGCTTGTTTGCCAGAAGGGGTAGAACTGTAAGTGATCTTGCTTTAGGGCTCAGCCTTTCTGCCGCAGAAGGTGTTGTCGGCTCGGCTGGGTGCAGCAGCAGCTCAGCTGGGAAACTGAAGCTAAGTGGCTGCTGTAAGGCACAACACTGCAAAGGGGGCCCTGTGGTAAGGATGTACTTTAACAATGACACTTTATATTAAAACATGCTGTACCCTGGCATCTTTCAATTATTCATGGGATAGTGGTTGCTTCCCCATACATAATGAGGTTTTCAAATTTAATGTGGAAAAACCCTGAACATTCTCCTTTTCTTCCACCTGGAAAAAATACTGATGAAGGTAACCAGGAATATATTTATTCTCAATTGCATACCACAGTAATCCAGGCAAAAGGTAATCTGAATATGATGTAGCGATAATGTTGTATTGTGAGTTTGAAGATCTCCTTGGTTAAACCATTTAGCTGTAACTTATATGCAACCTCAAGCCATTCTTTGATACATTTGGTTTGTTGGTTATCATCTGCTGTACAGACTGTGATATCTACACATCTAACTGGCTCTTTACAGTGGAACAGGGCATCTCAAAGATTCAGGGTGCAAAAATGTAACCGTATAATCTATAAAGTTCCCGTTCTGTAGTGACAAAGACTTCAAATTTTAGGGATGACTAGAGACCTGGACTTTATCAAAACATCTGATTACATGCACAACTTTCTACTCGCAGATCCTTCAGCCTTTCAATCACAAGATCTTCTGAATGAGATAAGTACATCACATTAATGGAGGATCGCTTCTGGGGCACACAGTGGGAACTGCAAGCAAAAAACCAAACAAATCTGAAATTAGTTTTATTTGGGGGGGAAATAATCTCAAAATACTATATTGATCCAAATTTGCCATATCAAATTATAGAGCTGAAACAAGCAATTACACCAGCTAAAAATCTGGCCTCTAAATTGGTGTAACTCCATCAGTGGCGCTATGCCAGTTACACCTGCTAAGGAGCTGGCCTGAGATTTCTGTTGATACTTCAGGTGCACACATTACTGTACAGGACCTATTTTTAAAAAAATAAGGTCTGCCAGTTGGAGAAGCAAGGAAAGTTATGAATTGTTCCCCCGCTCCCTCCCATCCCCCCAAAACCCAAATCACAGCCTGGCGAGTCAGAACCCCCTCCGTCCCCCGGCAGGTTTCTGGCTTGCTCAGCTGCAGTCCCTGGCAGCTGAGCCTGGGCAGGGAGTGAAAGCCACCTCCCCATCCCAGCTCTCTCAGGCAGCTGCTGGGCTACAGAGCAACCGGGAAGGGCCGGCATTAGAAATGGCTCTCCCCTGCCAGGGAGACTGGCGTGGGTGGGCAGGCACAGCGCGAGGACAGAGCGCCCCCCTCCCCCGCAGGTAACATGTGGCAGGGAGAGCATGGTGGCCCCTCCTGCCAGGGAGAGTGGTGGAACGTGTGTGTGTGTGGGGGGGGGAACACGTGACTTCCCCTTTAGATCATGCCCCTCCCAGTTCTCTATGGGGCACCCTCGGAAGAGGGGGCGGGAAGAGGTGGGGCCTTGGGGGAAAGGGTGGAATGGGGGTGGGGTCTGGGACAGAGCACCCCCGCCCCCGCCCACCCCAGGAAATCAGGAAGTCGGCTCCTATGTGTGAATTAGAACTGGACCTGAACAAACCCCCCAGATCCACACACTCCAAAATGTGGTCTGAGCCCCCCCAAACTTTCAGAAGTTTGTGCCCATTTCTACTGTGAATGGCACTTCACTTAAGGATAGCTCAAATATGTTTCTCACTACTTTATAAAAAAAAAAAAAAAATCCAGTTGCATTGCTGGTTCTTTCCAGCTCTCAGTAATGTTTGTCTGGACACGTCAAGTATTTTCTGAATGATCAATATTGAAGCCTGGGTTTTTGAAAAGGAACTATGGGTGTTAGGTGTCCAATTTCAATTAACTTTCAATAGTTGGGCACTTGTCTGTCTTGGGCCCCTTTGAAAATCCCAGCTGGAGGTAAAAGCTATTTCTGGGGCCAGTTAACACTTTTGCTCCCTGTGTTGTGCTACTGTATTCAAGCAGACTGGTATTTGTAAATGTCATAAGCCCAATTCTTAATTTCAGTGAGACTTGCTTCCACACAGCAGCTGTAGAATTGGGCTCTGTGTTGTTTTTATTAAGGATATAGGTATCTATGTCCTATTTAATATATTACCTCATCCTGTTTTCTGTTTTATTTATTACACCCCGCTGTGCTTCAGAGAGCTCTCCAGATTCTTCGTCGGAGCATTCTCCTCTTAAAGAAAAGAGTTTAAAATGTTATTAAAGCTAATGTTTAAAATAATTATATAATACATAGGTTGGGGGGGAAAAGTGTCTGTACATCTGGGTGTAGTGCTTAGATTATCCACAAATACATAGCTGGTTTTTTAAAAGTAATATTTAAAAATATTAGATTCTGCTGCAGCTGAATGTATTTTTATAAAATGAGATTCAATAATATGATTCAAGGGTTTTAGCCAATATACCAAATAGAGGACATTATTGTCTTACTGAAGTAATCTTATAAATAGCATTTGTAAGTGTAAGAGAATAACTTTTTGAAAGTGTAGAATAAAGGCTCAAGTACCATTCATCCCTAAAGTCAAATTCTTTCCATTGGACTGACCAGTGACTCGTACCTCATACCCTCCCTCCCTCTCCCCAGCTGCCTTGAAGTGGAAGAATTTGCCTCACAAGAATATACATCAGCTGTGTGTCAGTTATGACAAACTATGCTACATTGCTCATATATTGGCCTAGGATTAGATACATAAGAACAGCTAAATCATTCTGAGTTAACAGAAGTGAACCCACTTGGTCTTTTGACTAAGGACAGATAAAATGGGACATCTGACTACATTTAGGTGCTTAAGCATAGTCTGTGATACTCTTTTTAAATCTGAGAGGCAGCTTCTGCTTTTCTTATCTTCCAATATACTTCTGCGAGTGCAATTAACAGGATTAGTATTAGGCCTCATTGATCCCTTTTGCTGCTGCAGGACAATGCATGTGCCTAGGTAAGAGTTTTAACAGATTTACTGCAGAAAAGCAAAGACAAGACTGGTATGTCCAGCCACTCTATAAAACATGTCACTTTGTGGATACATTAACCACAGTATATCTCAGAAATTATGCCCTTTGAGTAAATCATACCATGTACTGTATTTGTGTTTCAGCTAGTACCGTAGGTGGATGCTTTCCTAAAGCCGTATCAGAACTTCACTGCTGTCGCACCCATGCTGTTCCAGTGTTTGGTTTCTAAACACGGACAACCCTACTAAATAGTGGGTTCATTAAGATATCTATATTTGCACATTTGGCACCACACTGAGAGCAAATTACTGAATTATTGTGACATAAACCAAATCTGAACCCAGTTCTCTCAAGGTGAAAAGATGTAGTATTTTAACCCCCAATTCCTACTCTAAATGCCAAAAAGTAGCAGGTGTATCCAGCAAATGTGCTGCTGGATATACCTGGTACAAACTGACTTTCCAATCATTTGAATGAACTTCCCAGAGCCAACAGTTACTAGAACTCTTGCACATTCCTACATCATGGAAGAGATTTAAAAAGTAGCTACTTGCAAAAACTTGTGAAGAAGCCAGGAGGCTCCAGAATCCAGTGGCTCAGTTGCATTGTCTGAAAGTTCACATAGTGTTGGTGAAGGCTGCACTGTTGTAGGCTGGAATCTTCTGGCAAGTTTCTCCTTCTCTCTGTACCGCAGTGTTGGCATTCTCTAGTGACCTGCTGTTTACTTCCACCATATAGCTCAGTCACCAGGAAGCGATAAGCCACCAGTAAGGGCTCACTCCGGGTGCATCTGTTCAAACAGTACAGGCTCTTAGTCAGAGCTTCATGGAGAACCAAGCTGCCACTGTCGTCCGTGAATCGTAGCTGAAAGCCTATTACATCTGAGGTGGTCTCATTCAAAATGGCTGAAATGTTAAAGACATCATAACCAGATGGTGGTAGCTCATCTAACGTCAGCACTTTCTCATCTAAGGCTTCGCTTTCTGTGATATTTCCCTGGACCACGGAGATGCTGTGCACAGTAACATTTACTGTCAGCGATTCTGGGTGTAGAGTCTTCCTGAGAAGAACTAATTCTGCAAGCCTCATGGAAGGTTTCAGGTAAGAAATATTAAACCACAGCCATCCTGGAATGCCAAAATATGGATCTAGGAGAACAATTAATGTACAATTTTATTTCAGGCATGGAACATGTAGACAAGGAACCTGAAGGGGAAACTGAGGCAGTGGTTGTGATAGCGGTTTCAGTGAAGCAGAGAGGGTGGGTAGATGGGAGGGCAAGGAGGGAGATGAAGGAGAGGATGAGGGCCTTTGGCTCTGGAATTTTCTTTCCTCCGTAGTTCAACAGAACCCAAGTTTGTTGATATTCAGGGCATTGTGAAAGACCCATTTATGTTTTGCTTCACTAGGAGGCTGATTTGCTGAAAGAGGCGCTTTTGGGAAAGAGCAGGGAGGGGAGATGAGTTTCTGGTTTAAGGGAGAGAGGACTGAGTTTTGTTGTATCATGAGTTTTGGGGGTTTTTTGTTGACATTGTGTCAGATCAGTTATTTTAAACCGTGATTTTCTTTCTGTGCGTGTACCTAGAAGTTCTCAATAGGTGCATTTTACAGCACCAATTAATTATTGAAGGGTGCTGGAACAGCATAAAACTATATTATGAAATCCAAGGGCCAGGTACCCCAGTATACTCTGGTTGATTTGCACTGTTCTCATGACAGTAAGTCACCACAAACCTGTTTTAAGGCACTGGAGTGGCCTTATTTTGTTGTTTTTAATGGTTGAATTGTACCTCCCTGACACTCAATTGATAAAACAGAAATGTTTACAGGCCTTTAATGAAAGATGGCATTGCTGTAGTGATCTTACCTTGTTAATGATCTCACTGGTTCAACCTTTCTGGAGGGAGATTTGCAGCCAGGTTTTGCAGTCAGCTCAGATTTGGCTTCTTTTATTATTTTTTTAACAGAGATTTCCAACCATGTCAGTGTATGCCTAATTTTTATTTCATTTAAGACAGTACTTTGGATGTCAGCCAAGGTCTAAGGTCCCTAGTGGGGTTTCACTAAACTCTTCTGTCTATTTTCCCTGCAACTCTCTTGCTTACTAATAGTTTTTCTTCTCTGTTTTATTTCATACGCTTATTTGTTTAAGATAAACTAAGATGATCTTGTTGCTTACAAACTGGATGTTATGGGATCTGTGCCTTAGGTTCCTGAGAACCAGATTCCACACTCAACTATGTGCACACCAGCTCCATCAAGATCAATACAACTGGCACACACATCTGCAGGCTGAGTTTGGCACTAAATAAATCAACTAAATCATCCTAGATGGGGGAGAATATTTGTTTTCTATCTGATTGCCAATTAAAAGTACATAACATAAGAATGTCCCTAAGGTCAGACCAAAGATCCATCTAGCCCAGTATCCTGTCTTCCGACAATATCCAGTGTCAGGTGCCCCAGAGGGAATGAACAGAACAGGTAATCATCAAGTGATCCATCCCCTGTTTCTCATTCCCAGCTTCTGGCAAACAAAGGCTAGGGACACCATTCCTGCCTATCCTGGCTAATAGCCATTGATGGACCTATCCTCCATGAATGTATCTAGTTCTTTTTTGACTCTGTTATACTCTTAGCCTTCACAACATCCTATGGCAAGGAGTTCCACAGATTAACTGTGCATTGTGTGAAGAAATACTTCCTTGTATTTGTTTTAAACCTGTTGCCTATTAATTTCATTTGGTGACCCCTAGTTCTTGTGTTCTGAGAAGTAGTAAACAATACTTCCTTATCTACTTTTTCTACACCAGTCATGATTTTATAGACCTCAATCATATCTCCCCTTAGCCGTCTCTTTTCCAAGCTGAAAAGTCCCAGTCTTATTAATCTCTCCTTTCCTGAACCTTTTCCAATTCCAATATATCTTTTTTGAGATGGAGCAACCACATCTGTACACAGTATTCAAGATGTGGGCGTACCATGGATTTATATAGAGGCAACATGATATTTTCTGTCCTATTATCTATCCCTTTCTTAATTATTCACAGCATTCTGTTTGCTTTTTTGACTTCTGCTGCACATTGAGTGCATGTTTTCAGAGAACTATCCACAGTGATGCCAAGACCTCTTTCTTGAGTGGTAACAGCTAATTTAGACCCCATCATTTTATATGTATAGTTGGGATTATGCTTTCCAATGTGCATTACTTTGCATTTATCAACATTAAATAAGTAGGCAGCTTATTGGTAGTTGGACATGGAAAGTCAAAAGACACATTGTTTAAAATTAGGACTGTCAATTAATCGCAATTAATCTCATGTGATTAACTCAAAAAATAATCATGATTAATCGCACTTATAATAATAGAATACTAATTGAAATTTATTAAATATTTGTGGATGTTTTTCTATATTTTTCAATATTTATTTCAATTACAGCACAGAATACAAAGTGCACAGTGCTCACTTTATATTATTATTTTTTATTAGAAATATATGTATGTAAAAATGATAAACAAAAGTATTTTTCAGTTCACCTCATACAAGTAACTCCTCACTTAAAGTCATCCCGGTTAATGTTGTTTCGTTGCTACGTTGCTGATCAATTAGAGAACGTGCTCATTTAAAGTTGTGCAATGCTCCCTTATAACGTTGTTTGGCAGCCACCTGCTTTGTCCACTGTTTGCAGGAAGAGCAGCCCGTTGGAGCTAGCTGGTGGGGGCTTGGAATGAGGGTGGACCAGCAGCCCCCCATAAGCTCCCCGCTCCCTAAGTTCCCTGTGCAGCAGCCGCCCAGCAGGCTATCAATTGCCGGCAAATATTTGTAATAAAAAATAAATATAAAATGAGCATTGTACACTTTGTATTCTGTGTTGTAATTGAAATTAATATATTTGAAAATCTAGTAAACATCAAAATATTTAAAATAAATGATATTCTATTGTTGTTTAACAGCGTGATTAGTCAAAATTAATTTTTTTTAATCGCGATTAATTTTTTTAATCACTTGACAGCCCTACTTAAAATGCATTCTCCCAGGACTGACCAGTGTACTGGACCCTGATCAGGATGGGGATGGACTGTTGGAGCGTTAGTTAGTTAACTTCTAGGATACAACAGCAGAAATGGAAGAGATTTTGTGGGAAATAAATAGCTTCAGAGCCCAGTTCTGCTCCTGGTGTGGACAGGACCTTAGCCTTACACTGTAGACACTATGTTCAGCCTCATCCAGCACAAAGGATGTCCTTTTATAGGTCACCAGTCTAATACCACAGATTAGAAGAAGCCCACCCAGTTTCTAGGACCGATGCACTATCTGGACCCAGACTAGTTGGTTTGGCCAGGTCCAAAACTGAAGAGGGCCCACACCAATCACTATGTGGAAGACTGTGGCTGATGTGTGACTCTCCTTGCCAGATAATGCACCTTTTGCTCTCATCTATGTCATTCACCCATCCATGTGGAGGCCCAAGACGTGGCACTGTAAATATCCCATTTCTCTTTCCCCAGGTATGTGATGACTCAGGTTAAGTTCAGCTGGTTCCCACCTGTCTTCGATTATTCACCCAGACCTCATCTAGGTAAATAAATGCTGCAGAGGGTGCCTGAGGCCCCTTACTGGTTCAGGGCACAATACCCCAGAACAATGAGGCACAGGATGCTCAGCGGTGCTTTTAACAGCTGCTCTAAAATGGAGCAGTGCTTGCTGTCTCCTGCCACCCACTGCTGACAACAACATGTGTGCAGGAGACCTGGAGTCTACCCCCACCTCCATGCTAGATGTCCGTGCCCTTTTAGGACATTGGCACTTGTAGTGTGGGAGCTAGCCCCACTCCAGCCTACCCGTTCAAGGTAGTGCTATGTTTCTGTTTAGCCCAGGAGGTCAATCCTAATTTAGCGACCCTAGGAGACACTCTCAGCCATGTCTCTGTGGTTAGGGCTTCTCTGCATAGGATTTCTGCCTGGAGTCCTCCAGGACTCTAACCCTAGAAACTTAGCTTACAGCATAATCCACCATGGCTATAGACTTATAGCTAGAGTGATAGATGGGTAGAGCACTGCACAGTATCTCCGAGTACAGGGGCCTGTAAACTGTAACAGGAAGCAGGAGCCACAGCCGGGGCTTAAGCCACCGTCCACGCCCTATAGGTTGGAAGCAAGGGACAAGGAGCAGCCAGAGTGAGACTCAGCTAAGGGCCAGCATCCCAACCAGAGCATCCCCCAGTTGATGGCAGGAAGCATCTAGTTCCTCTTCCCAGCACAGGGCAAGCAGCAGCCAGTACCAAGGAGTAGTGGTAACCCCAACCACAGACCTTTACTTGGACCAGGACAAGGAGCAGCCAAATAAGCCCCAGAATTATCTAGACACGGACCCAGGGAGATGCCGGAACCACTCTGAAGCGATTCCTGTATTCCTGAAACTTTTTTTTAATGCTGCAACCTTGCCAGGCTTCTGTCTGGTAATCATGCTATTTGCTGTCTTTCATGTAACAAGATTAGATATAGTCATCAAGTGTGCAAATTAGGGTGTTAAGTCACTTGCATGAAATCTCCAGACTTCTGAACCATCAGCCTTAATAGTTATATTATAAATATACACAGGCCATTCTGGTTTCACTGCCCAAGCAGCATGACAAGCACAACGTAAACAGACTGGATAAATGGTGACAAATTAGATTTTTAAAAACTCATTTAAAAACTGTTATTAGTAATGTGAGTAAGGACTTTTTTTGATGTGGTTTGTCTTGGTGATAGTCTCCATAAGACTGACATGTGCAGGTAGTTTCAACTGGTGACTGAAGTTTAGTTGGTTGGGAGTTAAGGTAGCTTCTCATTTCTAAACTGCTCTGTCCTCAAAGCAGTCACTTGAAAGAAACTGATCCTTTTTATTTAACTCTGGCCTAGGAGACTGCATAGAGATCTCTCAAAACAAATGCTGTGTGTTATAAAATGTGTAAAGCAGATATTGAAACGGTAAAGTAATAGGTTTATAAAAGCAATGTCATTAATGATAAGAGGAAAAAGAAGAAAATCTATTGGATAACCTGTTTTTAAAAGGAAAACATTTCAAACTGGCAATATTTTTTTCCCCTTAGGAATTGTTTATCATGGTAATCTTTAAAGTTATTCAAGATATGATGTAAATCACAAATAAATAGTGGTCAGTTTCCTACCTTGGATGCTCCTGAAACTCTGCACAAGAGTCCCTTCGCTGTTTAAGGCTGGTGGGGTTCGTAGATGATAGACTAACTTCATGTAGTGGTGAGGCTTGGTCCTGAGAGGTATGGATAACTTATTGATATGTAGCATTTCCAGGATGGCCTTGCTTAACTGTTCATCTGTTCCCCAGATAAGCTGGCATTTCCCTGCCCCTGGGCAGTGAGAACAAAACATCAACAGCAATCCACAGATGAGTCCTAAAAACAGAGAAACAATGCTCATGGTGGGTCTGTGAGTAAACAAAGTTTTAGAGAAAAAACAGAATGTAGCCTTTTGCTGGCTCCTGGTGTTTTGTCTTCTAGCTGTAATTGCAGAGGGGTAATAATACTCAGCCAGAAAACTGCAGTTAATTAGTTGCAAGGACTTGGTGCCATTGGCACTGTCCTGAAAACTAATTACTGGTAAACAGAAAGCCCTAGAAGACTTCATTCGGAGGATGTGTATTTACTACACACACACACATTACTTCTCTTTCTTTCTCCCTGGTTTGTTGTTGGGACAAAAGCATTTTGTATGTTGTGAAGATGATGTATAGAATTTTTGTTTCTGTTTTTTAAATACAGTTTTGTTCATTTAGATTAAGTGACTCGTTGTTATGGAAACGGAAGTCCCTTAATCTATTCACAGGCCGTTTGTGGCAACGGTAGCAGTAATGCATGCTTTCCCACACTCCCCGCACGAATGACATTAACCTTGACTTGGGAAGACCACCCGCTGCACACATAAGAGGTGGTTTATTCTGCATTCCACCTCAGTCCTATGTCTTTAGTGAGCACAAACTGCCAGTTGTCCTAAATCCTTCCAGAATATTATGCATTGTTTGTACAGCTAGCTGCTACCCACTGGGGGTCAGAACCTCAGACCACTCAATCGATTTCACTTTGCACTAGAGCGGGTACTCGAATTATTGTCACAAGAGTAAAAGGCCCTTGACTTAGCCCCTGAGCCATTCCATTCCCTATTTACTCTCCTCTAGTTTCAGTATAACATAACTTTTCTCTCAGGCTTTTTTGGGGAGAGGGGGAGTAGGGGGGAAGGAGGGGCCAAAGAATTTTGAACAATAAACTTCATCAAACCACATGTATTTAACTGTTTTGCTAACCACCTAGATTAAACATTTAAGAGGATTTTTTTAAATGAGAATTTCACTTTTCACAATTTGTGCGGCTTGTTCACAAACAGTAAGTCAGCACACACACCTTGGGGCATCTCCTGGAGCCGGAGCGATAAATCAAACAGATGCATTTTGTGACTTTTTCTGTTTACAAATTGTCCATGATTTTCTTCATTATTTCAAAGTTATTTGCTCTTCAAAGTAATTTGCCAAATAATTTCTGAAACAAATTCTTGGTCTGTGGTTTGGTCTGTAAATATTCCATATCTGAAATTCAAACTGAGCTGTTTTGATTAGATGTTAGGACATGTGATACACTTCTGCTCTTTCACTGGATGGCCATAATTTAGAATGGGACGTCTGGTGCAAATATTTGCATCTACAAAACTAGTGTTAGCTTTTTATTAATAGTCTGCAACATTGACTTAAAATTGGCTGCTTATGTGATCATTCCTGAATCTTTGTGAAATGCAAACATGGAAGAGAAGGGAACACAGTGAAAACCTCTGACTAAAAATTCAAATTTCAATGTCACTGACTTTTTTTGAAGCATTCACCTTGCTCTTGTAGGTTAGCCATTTTAACAGTAGTAAAAATAAGGTTAAGTACTTTGCAGGCCTTTTGCAGAATGACCACAGTTAGGATCCATCTCTATTTAGAATATGGCCATTTAGGGGTAGCTTGAAGTAGGACACATGGAGAGTGAAATTCACCCCCTGTGGAGAGGGTCTGTACCAAGTAAGTCCCACTTGAGACCTCAAAATAGGGAGCTGAATGTGCAAGTACCTCTGAAAATCAACCCTTAAGTGTTTCAAGTTGGGGACCCAAAAACAGGACTCAGAATTAGGGGCTACTTTGGAAAATTTGTCTTTAAGTGACTTGACCATAGTGATAGAGTGAATCAATGGTAGGAGCAAGAAAAGAATTTGGCTGTCTTGACTCTAGGACAACTACTCTCTGCACTGCATCTGGCTGCCTCCTACAAGATTGAAGGGAATTAGCAAAGTTGTTTTAGAAAGAAGAAATAAAAAAATGGCCTGCAAAAATTATGAAGTAATGAAGCACTAGACCAGCTGGAGAAGTGCCTGTTTTTATAGAACATTCGATGACAAATTACTTCCAATTTTAGATTGTTTGTAAATGCACTTTAGAAACAAAATATATTTTTCCTTGATTTAGCCCACCAGGAAAAAAGCCAAATAATTACACTGTGTACAAATCTATTTAATTACTTAGCACTGACTACAGTATTTTAAAGACCACTGCTATTAGATTAGGGGCTGATCTTAATAGGATTTCTCAGACAGATTTTCAGTAAACAGGGCCTTAATAAACCATTGCAAACAGGGTACCAAGCAGTAGGTATATCAGCTCTTACAGTAGGAGTAAATCCTGTTTGGCTGGGAGTAACTCAATAGTAACTTGCCTACAACCATTCTTCCAGTCTGTGCACTAGCCACTGTCCATTTGCACTCCCTGTGACAGTGTTTTGGTCTACTGGTTTCATGTACATGCAGATCCTGTGGTCCCATTTGACTCTGACCCACATTATCCCTTCTGCACTGATCTATTCTGAGGTAACATGGAGCCCTCCATGTATGTAGGGGCGTGAAGGACCTAGTGTGCAGCCAAGTAGTATACATAGCACCCAGGCTCACCACAGGGCTCAGATGGAACAGGTGGCCTTGAGCAGGACCTCTACAAATCCAGCTGTAGATTTCACCCAAATCAAGGGTGCAATCTACAATTTCAACTTAAACATGGGAAAGGCCTGTTCAGTAAGGGTGGGATAAAGGGTTCCTTTAAGAACACTAAGAGGAAGGGAGGCATATGAAAGCCCTTACAGCAAAGAAAGGAGAAGCAGGCACATGCTGAACTTTCACAAACTGGCTTGCTCCCAAACAGAACAGAATATGAATAGCTGCTGTACATGTGCTAATTGAATGTAAGGAGAACCAAAGCCACATTCTGTTTGCAACTTACACAGGCTGTTAACTGACAAAACTAATAAAGAAATTGGTAAATATTGTTTGCAGGGGAAAGAAAGAATTTGAGGGAAAGGTTTGGGGAAACTAAGCATAAGGCAGAAATAATACTGTGTGCGTGGAAGGTGGTGTGAAATTGCCATCATATTCTGTGTGACTAATCATGTCTGTTTGAGCTAAAAATATCAAGTAGTCCTAGTAACTTGGACTGAGTTCTGTATTCCATCCACAGCATCTTTTACTAATACGAATTATTTATTGTTAAAAACATTTCTATTTTTATTTTGCTGAAGTCAAATCTGGATTTTATATCTGCCAAACATATAATGCACCTTCCTATGCATTCACTTGGGTGGCCGTCTGGACACCGCAGAGGTTCATGAATCTGCCTGTATACAGCCTTTGAGCTAATAAAGCTGGGACTTTCAGATCAGGCAATAGAGAACCCCATGTTTAGATCCAGAGGTCCCAGGTTCCATTCCATCCTGAAGCATCACTTTCATTTAGAAAGGTGTGTTCTGCGTTCTTTATATACTGTAAATTTCATGGATCACCGATATTGGCCACTGCTAACAGAGTATATTACTAGGCAATAGACTTTTCAAAAACCAAGTGGCAGTCCAATGTCTGCTGCTGGGTGCTCATTGCTGGGGGGAGAGGGGAAAGGCGGTGATGCAGATAGTCTTTTGAACCAGCTCAGCAGTGCCACTGGGTTCTGAGCCCAGGGCTAAATATTAGATTCACCTTCACACCTTCTGGTAATTTGGGGAAATGCTGAATATTTGCCAGTGAACTGCTGCTGCCCAGCTATCTGCTCCTGACTGGAAGCAGGAGAGGGAATGATGGACAGTCACTTAGATAGACTCTAACATTTGAAAACTTTACTGATCCATAAAAATAAATGTATATTGATATTTTCAAATAGATTGACATATTTTTGTCTAGTGTACGTTTGTGTCTATGTATAGAGAGAATATCTTCTGGTGTGGTATAAAGGTCTGATCAGTATGAGTTTAGAATGGATATAATACGCCTGTGGTCAAGTCTCAAGTGAATTATGTAGGACAATCTCAAACACAGGCAAATGAAACTTTTATACAATGCAGTGTAGTTGTAGTTGTGTTGATCCCAGAATATTAGAGGGACAAGGTGGGTGAGGTAATATATTTTATTGGACCAACTTCTGTTGGGAGAGAGAGACAAGCTTTCAAGCCACACAGAGCTCTTCTTCAAGTCTGGTAAAGTTACTCTGAGCATCACAGTTAAATACAAGGTGGAACAGGTTGTTTAGCATAAGTTCTTAGGACATATTTCTAAGGGACCATTCAAGGTAGAGTGGCCTTTTAACATCTCTGCAGTTATAGGCCAGAAAGAAAGGGTTATTATAAGGGTAGTCTATAGATGGACCATGGGCCAAATCCAGACCACCAGGCGCTTTTGAATGGATCCCAAATTTTTGTTATTTACTTATTATTATTTTATTATCACTATTATTATTATTTTATTTTCTTTGGAGTCCAGACCTTGACAATACCTTGACCAAGAAATTTGGACCTTGACAAAAAAGAATTGACTACTTCTGGGTTAGTGGGTTACAGACTGTTGTAATAAGCCATAAATCCAGTGTCTCTGATCAGTCCACGATTTTTAGTGTCTAGCTGAGTTATGAATTTAAGCTCCCAGGCTCATCTTTTGAAAGTGTTCTGCAGGTTTCCTTTGAGGATGAGGACTGATAGATCAGATATAGAGGGACTGGTGTATGAAAAGTGTTCACCCACAGGTAACAGGGTGTTTTTGTCTTTTATCATTTTCCTGTGTGAGTTCATTTCAGACCATAGTGATTGTTTGGTTTTACTCATATAGTTGTTGTTGGGGCATTTAGTATACTGGATGAGGTACACCAAATATTGTGATAGGCATGTGTAGGATCCATGGATCTTGAAAAGCGTGTTGTGAGGGGTGTTGATCATTGTAGTAGTGGAGATACGTCTGCAGGTTTTGTATCTGTTCTGGCAGGGTCTGGTGCTGCTTTGAGTTGGTGTGTCCTAATCTGTGGGGAGCTTGCTTCTGATGATGAGCTTGAAGAGGCTTGAGGGTTGTTCAAAGGCCAGAAGTGGCGGTTC